CGGGCTTCTCTGTTCCAGGATCCTGCTGACGGTGGTGGTGATCTTCAGGATACTCATTGTGGCCATTGTAGGGGAGACGGTGTACGATGACGAGCAAACTATGTTTGTGTGTAATACGCTGCAGCCAGGCTGCAACCAGGCTTGTTACGACCAGGCTTTCCCTATTTCTCACATAAGGTACTGGGTGTTCCAGATCATCATGGTGTGCACTCCCAGCCTTTGCTTCATAACATACTCTGTTCACCAGTCTGCTAAGCAGAGGGAACGGAGGTACTCCACTGTCTTCCTCACCTTGGAGAGGGACCAGGATTCCATGAAGCGTGAGGACAGTAAGAAAATCAAGAACACCATTGTCAATGGAGTGCTGCAGAACACTGAGAACTCCACCAAAGAGGCAGAACCAGACTGCTTAGAAGTGAAGGAAATCCCCAATCCTGCTATCAGAACTACAAAATCAAAGATGAGGAGGCAAGAAGGCATTTCTCGATTTTATATTATCCAAGTGGTCTTTCGAAATGCCCTAGAGATTGGATTCTTAGTGGGACAGTATTTTCTGTATGGATTCAATGTCCCTTCCATGTATGAATGTGACCGATACCCTTGCATTAAAGAAGTAGAGTGCTATGTCTCTAGACCCACTGAGAAGACTGTATTCTTGGTATTCATGTTTGCTGTCAGTGGGATTTGTGTGGTGCTCAATTTGGCAGAACTGAACCACTTGGGCTGGAGAAAGATCAAAATGGCAGTGAGAGGCGTACAGGCAAAAAGGAAATCCATATACGAAATCAGAAACAAGGACCTGCCAAGAATGAGCATGCCCAACTTTGGCAGGACTCAGTCAAGTGACTCAGCTTATGTGTGAGGCTGTGACAGAACTGAAACACTGTGCCAGGTGGAACAGACCCAGATACCATTAGAGAAAGGTACATTGCTTAGGCAAGCATTTTATCAAACCACCAAGAAAGCCATTAACGTATTGGATCTGCACTTACTGAACTAGCTGCAGAATGCAGTGCTATGTAAAAGACTGAAAAACCACCTATAAACCCAGCGCTTGATCTAGCCTTACAGCACAGCTACTATTATTCCTACTTTTCTTTCTAATGATTGGGTGTTACCTGTCGGTGGAACAGCTTTTTGGTCATCATTAGGATAAGTTTACAGTTTGGACTGTCTGACTAATTGTTGTAAATGTGTAGAATGTTCATATTAAAAATCCGCAAGGATACTCTATATGGGGTGGGGTGGGGGAAATGGTTGCAATGTGCAGATGTAAGCATGATTTAAACAGAGGGTTAATAGCACTGTAAGGAGCCTGACCGCAGCTCAATAAGTATATCTATGTTCACCTATCTCACAGATGTCTTATATTATTTTGCTTGTCTAAATCACAGAGTTTATTCCTGGTGTGTATTGCTGGCTATTTTCTATCATAGTTTGTGCATCAATTAGTTATGCTAAACAATAAATGCTGAATATAATTTTGACATTTTTTTTTTGCCTGTCCACACACACACACCAGAGACCTTAATCATCTTACATTAGTTGTGATCTGCAGAGTATATCAGTACATTTCAGTTCATTCCCTAGTATGTGCATGAGTCAGATGGAGTTGGTTTATGCCAGCCAAGTTATGTATTTACCTACAGTCAGCTATGACACACATACCAAAGGAACAGAGTTCATTGCTTTTAACTGTGAATATATCACCTTCTCTCTGCTCTTATTTATATAAGTGCCATACTTGAAACATCTAACTCTGTACTTAGTCAAAAGGTTGTCTTGGGATACCAGCTGGAATAAAGTGATTTTATACTCTCCTTTGTTTATTTTATGCTATTTGTTTAGTCATTGCAATGGTGTAAAAAGCAGCTAAAATATCTATTGATAAATAAAATACTTGCCTTTTTTTGTAAGTCAGAGAGGTTTGTTCTTCTTTATTCTTGTATACAGTTGTAGAAACATACAGGGTCAAAACTATTTACTTACAACAATTATTCTCCAGGGTCTAGAGTGTCTTGTTGATATTCTAAACCCTAAGGAAGTGACAAAACCTGGGAATTCAGGGCTATTCATTATGTCTGTTCTCCTCCTTAAGCAAGCTTTCTCTGTCCTTAAAGCCTGATCCAAAGCCCACTGACACCAACAGCCTTCTTTCTGCTGACACTAAGGGCAACACAGTTGGCGGCCAAGGTCACTCTGGGAATAGCCAGAATACATTTACCTATAAGTGAAACAATTGCAACTTTTTGTCAGGGAATCCAAATAGTAACCTCAGCTTTTCTGCCTTACAACTGGTTCAAAAAATACACTGTTCGTGTCCCATCAACTTACTGGTAAGCCACTGTGACAGTCATGAATCTCTCTTATCAGCAACCATTTTAATATAAAATACTAAGTTTAAGTTAAAGACCTTCTTTTTATTTCCACTGAAATCAACAGAAAATATCCCACTGGCAACAGTAGGAATTGGATCAGGACTAAAAAACCATACAAGTGCCTTCCTAACTAAACAGTATCTGCCTTTTAAAAAAAAGGGCCATCATGGTGCTGGAAAATTTGGGGATCCTTTATAACATAAGAAGGAGGCAGGGGCTCAAAGTCACAAATTGTCTTTTGGCTGTATTTTATTTCAAGCCTGAAAATAGATTTTATTGTATTTTCGCTTGGAGATAATGCATATAAATCTTTTCCTCTTGGCTTACAGTAAATATCTTAACATTCCAGTCTTGTGGTTTGCCAGTATTGTCACTTAAAAAAAATGTCGATTAGTTCTTAGGTAGTCTATTCCTTATCACTGTCATCTGTGGTCTTTTTTTTCTTCCACTGTGAAGCATAAAAGGACTTTGAGATGTGTTACGTTTTTAAAGATTTTAGAAATATTTTTTCTCATGTATAAAATTATCAGTTTTCCCAATTTGATTATAGAAACCTATAAAGATGGATTTCTCAGATGATTCTTTGTGATATAAATGCACACTGGGTTTGCTAGTTGACTGCATGCTCACTGGAAAACTGCATGTTATTTTTAGAAAGACAACATGGCAGCTAAAATCTCCATCTGCAATATAACAAGCTTCTGAAGATTATTATTTGACACACAAATCCAAGTCTGATTTTCGTTTTCCAGAGTCTTAGGATGGTTTTCAAAATCTCTCTTTGAATAGATATTGAAAGGAAAAACATTTTTTGACAGTCATAATCATCCCTTTAATATCGAAGAAATGGGAGATCGTGTGCAGAGGGCTTGATCCAGTGCCAATTAAAGTTGAAGGAAAAAACCTGATGCTGAATTCACTGGGCTATGGTTCAGGTTCACACAATTTCCTGTTAGGCAGGAGCCCTAATGCAAGTTATTTTCAGTGGCTGCATAGCAGTGTTCAGTCAAACTCTAGTGAAGGTGCATGTGTTGAAAGCTGTAAAGTTTTAATACCATAAAATTGTTTAGGTAAGACCAAGAAAGTATCTTTTTTTTTTTTTAATAGTCAGTGCCAATGATTCATTTTATTCAATTATTTGTATGCAGTTGCACATTTTGAACTCTGGTAAGTTAAAATTCTTCAGAATTTTCCAAGGAGAAATATATCAGGAAATACAAACGTTAATTTATGCAGCAGGGTCAGTGATAAAGTAGGTAAAAACTCATTTTGATAAACAGAAATGCCATCTTCCATGTTTGCACTAATTAGAATATGGCTTTTCATATTTTAATAGTGAAATTAAATGGTATCAAGAGATCAGTTCTCCTAACCTTCCTTTTCAATTGTTATTTTTAATTTCACACCAACTACTTATTTGTCATGGACAAGAAATTATTGCAAACACTTTTTTTGTCAACAGATCATGTGAGAGTCATATGATTAATGCTAATGGTCTGTTTGCACAAAGCTGACTGTTTACAGAATAAATGCTTTTAAATTGTCACAGCAATGGAGAAGTGTGTTAACTGAACAGAACAGAGTGAACACGAAGCTGAAGGACACAAAATCACAGAATGGCTTGGGTTGGAAGGAACCTTAAAGATCATCTAGTTCCAACACCCCTGCTATGGGCAGGGACACCTTCCACTAGACCAAGGTGCTCAGAGTACCATCCAGCCTGGACTTGAACACTGCCAGGAATGGGGCAGCCACAGCTTCTCTGGGCAACCTGTTCCAGTGCCTCACCACCCTCATAGTGAAGAATTTCTTCCTAATTTCTAATATAAACCTACAATCTTATAGTTTAAAGCCATTACCCCTTGTCCTGCCACTACTTGTCCTTGTAAAAAGTTCCTCTCCAGGTTTTCTGTAGGCCCTTTTTAGGCACTGGATGCTGCTGTAAGATCTCCTCTGAGCCTTCTCCAGGCTGAACAAGCCCCAGCTCTCTCAGCCTGTCTTCACAGGAGAGGTGCTTCAGACCTCTGATCATCATCATGGCCTTCCTCTGGACTCTGTCCAATAGCTCCACGTTCTTCTTATGTCCCAGACCTAAGTGCAGTACTGGACACTTAGGCCTTGCTCCTGCTCCAGTGCAATAAATTACTCACTAACATCTACAGAAGACTCAGACATTAAAACAGAGTTTGTTGTATACCCTGTTTTGTACTGGTAGACAATACTGTATGTCATCATACATTCAAATGTAAAAATTATGTTCACTAACTTCTTATTGAAAACTGCAATAGAATCTAATACATGATCGGTTCTGTGGAATTTTAAAATTTACATAAAATAATGATATTACCTCTTTTTTACATAGGCTTGATCTTGAGCTTCTCGAACCTGTGTGAATTTCAAAAACTATTTACAAGCTGAATTGACTGTTCCCATAAATAGTTCATTATTTTAGAGACCATTGACTCTGAAGAAATATAAGGGTTTTCACCTTTCTTAAGGAAAATCTGAAGAACAAAGAGGTCAACTGAGGTGAATGCATCACAGAAGTGGTGAGATGGATTTTAGTTTGTTTTGTGCTAGAGAAGCCAGAAACTCTCAGAAACACCAAAGTGGACCCAGTGCTTGTCCTGTATTATATCTAATAGGATAGGACACAGATGCTGCTATGCAGAACAGTAGAAAATTAAAGTTAAATGTGAGGAAGAACTCTTTTCATGTACATGTAAAAGAATACATTTCTTGTAGGGCAAGAGGATGGACCAGATGGACATTGTCCCTGCATACTTCTAGCTTTATTTTGTTTTAATATAAATGTTCTGCCTTATTCCTTCGGTGAAACAGGTTAGAAGCTTTTATTTGGTGTACACATACAGAAATGGGAACAAAAAAATTGACACATTTGAGGAGAAAACAGGCATAGGCTTTCCTCATTTAGGGTCTGGTCTTGTTCATCATGAATTCAATGATGAAACTTTGTTTTCCATAGGACCAAGTCAATTCCCAGGTGGGGGAAACTTTAGTTTCATTATTTAATGAGATTAACAGAGGAGATTACACTATTTCTGTATTGCACACCCATCCTTGCACATTTTGGGATACTTTTCCCAGAAATTCTATTTTATTGTAAGCTTCCAGATAACGTACTAGCTTAGTATCTAATGCCAGATTCTAAACCCCACCGTCATCTCAATGAAACTCTGATAATATCCTCTGTGGAGAAAAATTGCCCTAGGAAGTGCTTCATATTATGTCTATTAAAATGTACTAAAGAAGTCAATGAGGAGTCAACAGACCATGAAATAAATGCAGATATAGACAATTCCATACTACTGCATTAATACTAAACCATACATATAGATGTGTATATATAGCTAAATATATGCACGATATTTAAAAGAATTTTACCTAAATTATATTACTGTGTTATAGATTGAATTTCAGACATGAATACAGAAGAAGTCACACATACAAAGACAGTTAAAAACCTTGAAAGTAATGCACAGGCATGTATTCTTACACCTATGTGTAATGATATTTAGACATTTATTTTTTATATTTATT